GTGTTATATTATTTAATTTTTCTTTACTATATTTTTTGCATTGATTAACATATTATATTATTAGATATTTGTTTTAATTATATTGTGAAATATTATAATTTGATTAATTTTTCAGCTAGTTTTGTCAAATATCATTTGTTCATAGCTAGTTTATCACAATACCAGTTAGCTTATCAACCATTAGTTATCTTATCAGCACGTGTCATCGTATTATTTCTCCGTCGAAGGATAAAAAAATTTAAGTTCGTGAAACGTGCAATCCTATTAATTTGTTATGTGTCATCGTATGTATTTTAAAACTACAAGGATAACAAGTTTTATTTAGTATAATTGGTTAAAGCTTTTATCTCCAAACTCAAGTTTGAATCTTGTTATTGTCATTTTTTTATAAAAAATTTCTGGATCCATCTCTAATTTCAAATAACAATATAAAAAATATGTTGGAGCAAAATAAAAAATAAAATCTTAAAAAACATGTTGGAAATGTTCTTAATTGCTTACCAAAACCTTTTTAGGCTAAGGGGTTGCTTGTTTACCTCTAAATAATTTCATTAAGAGGCATTCTTTGAATCGTTAAGACGTAAATCTTATTTGGCAGGAAAAAAAATCAGTCTCTTAATGTTTCTAAAACTCTCTGAATGATTTTGTATCATGGGTCTCCCATAACCATTCAGCGCCCTAATTTCTTTATAAACAATTACCAAACAATTATATTTCATTTTACATTATATCATGAGAACCTCTTAAACACCCCTAATTAAATTGAAAATTATGTGTGTGTTGAAAATTAATGTAGGAAGATGGAGAATAAAAAAAAGTCAAAACCTCCAAAAATGGAGAGGACCGCCTATATGGAAATAAAAGCACCTTGACTACGTACCAGGAATATCATTGGCCACTCGCGGTTGAGTATGGTGGCCGTTGCAAACCACCACCGCATCGAACACCTCCTCCTCCGCCGTACCTCCTCCCACCTCCACCACTAATTTATTACCGTCCCTTAACTCCACTCCCTCCACCTCCGATTTAAATCGAATCACCTCAATCACGCCAAACTCATTAGCAAAATCTTCTAGAAACTTCAGAATCTCTTCGTGACCCGGGAACATTCTCGAATCACCATATGATCTGTGTTCCAAAGAGTAATCGGAGAACCCCATGAGTGGCCGAGGGAGATTGGTTCGGAGAGACGAGTAGAGGCTGCTATGAACCACCGATCTATTGGGATCCAGGCCAAGACCATCGTCGACCTCGATTTGGGAGTCGTAAACCCAGGTTCCACCCACTCGGTCTGATTTTTCAAAGACGGTCACTCGGTGATTCTGTCGGAGAAGCTCTCGGGCGGTGAGTAGGCCGCAGGTGCCAGCTCCGATGACGGCTACATTCAGAGAATCGGTGCTGGAGATGGTCATTGTCATTGTCATTGGGGGGGAGGAAGAAGTGAGTCCAAATTTGACAATATTTCCTATTATTCTCTTTGATTCAAAAAGGGACTCCGACACTAACTTTTTTGACGGATTAGATTTTGTTGGGAAACCGATGAAAATAACTCTTTAGAATAGGTTATTTACGATTTTAACCTTAAAACTAAATTTTTTAACGAAATAGTTAGTTGTCTACAAAGACTAAAGTGTAATTTACAAAAGTTGTTTTTATAAAAAATATAATAATAATAATAAACTTCAGGCGATGGGTCCCATTCTTACGCACCGACCAATGCATGATGTGTAAGGGTACCATCTGGCCGATTAAAAAAACTTAAGTTTTTTTTCTTTAGAAAATTTAAATTTTTTTGAAGTTTAATTTTTTTTAAAATTTAATATTCAATTTTCTCATTCTCAATACAACACTATTTCATTTCCTTCTTCCCAATGACTTCTATGGATTATGGATTCGACTAGAGGGACTCCTAGCAGCAAACTAGTATAAAAGCACTGTTTCGGTGCGGGCTGCGAGAGCGGTACCAAATCGAGGCAGACTGATCTTCCCCAAGAGCTCACATCGACGGGAAGGTTTGGCACCTCGATGTCGACTCTTCGCCACCTGGGGCTGTAGTATGTTCCAAGGGTTGGCGAACAATTTTCTCCTTTGCAATACAATACTATTCAATTTTCTCATTCTCAATATAACATTATAATATACTAGTTGTGTACCCGCGCAATGCGGGAAGAGTTGTGAATTTTAACGATTTTGAAGTTTCACTGATTTTATTAGAGAAGATTTAATGATGATGTAGGTTACACTTGGTCTTTACATATTAATACTATTTGAATGCATAAAAGTTATGGTTCCAATTACAATTTATCGATTAAAAAAATTGTATGACAATTTAAAATTTAATATATTTAAAATCCAACATATTTAAATGGCTTCATAAATGTGTTCAATTTACACCAAGAGTAAATAATCAAGAGATCGAGAGTGAGGCCGAGAGTTCTAGAGCAACTGAATAAGAGACGAATGTGAGAACTTTTAATAACTTATGGTGAATATCAGTTTGAATCTCACCTTGAGGGATGAGAATAAGACATAGAGGTATGAGAGGGTGAAGTCATGAGTGAAAGGTGTTAAAAGTATCTT